TTTTGGTGGGGTTTCTTTCATTTCAGTAAATTACAAATTGTAAATTTGGAGCATAGTCTGAAAGTGGTGTGTAGGTGCAAGGAACATCATCTATTCGCAAGAAGAACAGATTTCTCCGAGTGTTGAAATGAGTGGGGATTGTAGCTTTTGTGTCGAAGAGAATCAAAACCTGGTAAAATGTCCTCATCAGCTTTCTGAAGTGGTGTTCGAGAACCTTTCTCCTCCTTGTAGATACTTGTCGTTAGCTAAAATGCAATTAATAATTACAAAAAACTTTTCTCAATTTTGTAAAAATGAGTTCATTTTGTAAACTTGAAAAAAGTCTGAAGCTATTAATGCTCCTTAAGTAAATACATTACAACTTCACGTCCAGGAAAAAATCTTTATTTATAAGGTAGTGCCTGCAGTCCATAGGTAGTTAAATATCCTTCAGGGTTTAGTAGTCCATCAAGCCTAAGAGTTTCATTCATTTTTAAAATGCATCAGTTTAAACTGATTTTAAGCCAATCAATCAGAGCTATTGGGCAGGCTTAATTTTAAAGTCTTGACCTGTTGAAATGTCTGTGAGTCGAGATCTATCGTGGAAATGGAGGTAATCACAGAAGGGGTTAGACTGAAAGTATCTGAATGTAACATGAACTGCAGAAGCGCTCAAACTCGTTTCTTCCTAAAAGTCGTATCAACTATGATGCAGTCATTGAGTATTCCTGTTTCATCAGCATTTTTGTCTCTCTCTCATATCAAATGGCATTTATTGTCTATTGTGACAATGAAGGCCTTTGCAGATTAAGACGATTCTCTTAAAAACTAAGTTTATTCACTCTTCATTCATTCCATTCAAGGAAGAAGAAAGGAAAAGAGAACAAGAAGAACAGAAGAAAAGAGAGAATGAGATGGTTTTTAAAGCTTGGTTACAGAAGAAGAAAGAACAAGTGCAAGAAGAAAAGCGAATTCGTCGTGCAAAGGAGCTAGAAGACATGAACAGCAAAGTAAGGTCTCCTTCATGTAAGAATGGGATCTATAGTGCTCTGGTTTGATAGGAAAACCAAATTCTAAGCATATGAAAATTTACATACGGCTTGCACTGTAGAAGCTGTATATATGAACTTAATAGCTATAAAATCACAGGAGATACAGTAATGCTCCTTCTTATCAGGGGAGTGACTTGATGGAACCCTGCAGTGAACAAGCAGCCAGAAAACCCTTTGAAGTGTATTCCTGACCATCGGAACTTGTTGGCGAGCAGTTCATGTGTGTGACTTGACCAAAACCTGAAGATTCAGATGCTCTGTTCTGAAGTTCCTCTGCCTTCTAGCGATGGGCTTGAAAAGCTAAATTCAGTATTTTTTTAAAACATACCGCTTTGAATGCTTGCGCATGTATATATTCCATGCCAGATTAGCATATGCTCTAGTTTGCTTATAAAGTATGTTTCGTGGATGGGAGATGCCAGCAGAGTTCAAAAAATTATTACAACATGATTAATATAAAGGTCATTTAATGCTAAGCCTTGTGTGTATATGTATTTTTTTTTAAATAGGAAAGGAGCAGGAATCCAGAAGAAGCCTTCAAGTTATGGCTTAAAAAAAAGCACCAAGAACACATGAAAGAAAAACAGATAGAAATTTTGAGACGCCAAGCTGAGGGAATTGCCTTTTTTCCAAGAACAGAGGAATGCAACAGAGCCTTTAAAGAGTGAGTAGGGTCATTCCTAGGGAATCATATTTGAAAATTTCATAGTCTATCAGCTTAAGACTGTAGTTATTTTATGGTACATCTTTACTGCTGAAGTCCCTCCCCCCCCCCATGAATATGCCCTCAGAAACTTATACCCTAGTAGAAATACATCAATTCCTTGATGTTGTTTGTTCACTGTTGTGAAATTACTTGTCGGAACCTGAGCTGAAATAGTGAATTGCTTCTGCTGAAAAAGGGAGATCCTTCTCCCCTGCCCCTTTTTGCCTGTTCTGGAGCAGGCTTGGGTTGATTCAGTTCATTAAACAGGCAGAAAGTTAATCCAATAAAATGGATCCAGCTCGAGCCTATGAGTTGAATCAGCTCAACAAAAGGGGGGAGGTGAAGGTGAGTGCAGAAGCAGGAGAATTGGGATGGAAGAGTAGTGCTTCCCATGTTTAGGAGTGGCAGGCTTTTAGACTGGCTCAGCCATGACACCTAACTTTATCCTACAGGACAAGGTGCCTCTAGTTAAATGGGGACAAGTGTCTTTGAATGGATGACGTAAAACTTACAATTGCAACTGTCAGTATTTCTAGTCCCGTTTCTCTCTCCACAGATGGCTAAAAAGAAAGAGAGAAGAAAAACGAGCAGAAGAACTAGCTGCTAAAGAGCGAGCAAGGCAGCTTAGATTAGAAGCCAGAAGAGCAAAACAGATGCAGAACATCCGCTGCATTAGTTCAGAGCCCAAATCCTTTCGCTTCACAGACCATTACAGTTGAAAGTTTGACATAACCGCAGAGTTCTTGGTGGCAGCCCTCTAAATTTTTATGGCTTGAGCTTTTGCTCTTTACAGCTACTGTTTGTGGTGTTTTTAAAGCTTTCAAGCAAATCTACCAATTACCTTCACTGACCATGATGTGTTACTATCTATTTGTAATTTTGTTGAAAAGCCTGCTTTTATGTATAACTCAGGGAATCTTCTTGGTTTGACCAAATTAAATGAGTGCGAGATCTATATGTGAGGGTGGCAAATACACATTCCTGTCTTTAAAAGGCACTTTATACTCAACACTACCCTGAATTCCTGGATGCAGGCTGTTATGTAAAATGTTGAATTTTTGCTGGATTAATATTGCTGTTTGCTCCTGCTTGTGATGAAGACTGTACAAGGTGTTATGCTGTTGGAAAATGCTGTTTCTCGTACCACTGTCCTTTGATCTGTCGACCAGCTGTTAATTCTGGCTAGACCGGAGGACTATTTTCTTTTAGTTCAGGGAAAGTGGATGTTGAAGGCTAACATGTATGCAAATGTGCAACAGTTTTTGAAACTTATTTCCATGAGTCATATTCAGTAGTTTTCTATTCCATGAAACTAAAACGTTGTGTGAATTATGACCTTTACCAATATCAATGAAGCTGGATTCCTTGTATACGTGTCCATGTTTGCTAAATTAATTATAATAAACTACATCACCTTACCCAGCTAAACTGTGAACTTTTGTCAGAGAAAGTGCTGAGGTCACTCATGAAATCATAAAGTTAGTGGAAGATGAGGAACATTCTGTCCAGCTACATGTCCAACAGATTTCATGATCTGGCATTGTTCTTAAATTTTTCCACTTCAGCGTGTTTTCTGGAAGTACTGTAACAGAAGGAAGTGTAGTAGATGCAAAGCAAATTTGCCATTAGTATTTTTCTCTTACCATTTTGGAGTTAGTTATAGGCATAGTGAGAGCGCACTGGTGTTTGGCCAGAGGGTGCTGTGTTGCAGCTTTTACCGGCATAGATAAAAGGCATGGATGTGAAATGAAAGTTTCACATGCTACTGAGAAACATGAGTAACAGGTGCCTTCCTCCTTCCTGTACCTTCTGACACCAACGGCAAGAAATGCTTCTTGCGTCTCGCAAGCAAATGGAGGTGGAAGGTTTGCAAAGGTTCACACTATCTCCCTAACCGTAGTAAGTTACAAAAGAAGTGCTTCTTGGTTCGCGACCCCAGACCAGTAGAGTGATGGGTTTTACAGTTCAATGCCATATAGTTCCTTTTATGCTGCAGAGAAAACAAGGTCAGAAATACAGCTATATTAAATCCAAAATTGCAACTTGAAAGCAAGCAAAGAAAGTTTATTGCAGCTTTCTTCATGCAAACCAAAGCATGGCCAGCAACAGCAAGAATTTATAACTTAGATATTCTGATCATGGTATGAGATTAAAGAGGAAAACCAGGTAAAAGCAACCATTTCAGAAACTCTTTCCACAAACTAGATGATAGCTACATATGATAAATTTGGGAGTGAAACTAAGAAATTAAAATGCATATTTGCATCCTCCTACCTTTCCTCTTTACATTTGCAACTTAAATGGGCTTCTTTGGATTTAGCAGATTATCTGCTAAAAGTTCTCTTCAAACCTACATCAAGATTATAAAACCATACAAGTAAAAAAAAAATATATTTTTTTTTACCAGTACCTGTGCAAACTTAGTGCTTATCTTCAGCTTCCCCTAACACCCAGGAAGACCTTGGGCAAGGACTGAAACCTGACCTAGCATTAAAATTCAACACTATGTACTAAAGGAGGCATACCAGCCTGTCTTTACTGAGAATGAGCTATGTAACAGCTTCACTCTAACTGAAACAGATGGAAAGCCATTATTTTAGCTTTATGGAAACACAAGAATAATCTCACCCCGCAGAGTTTTCCAGAATCCATTTAAAACCAGTTACTATTTATATATTATAGCTAGAGTTTGTTCAAGCTTTTTCCCCTTTCAGGAGGGCTGTAACACTGCATATGCTCTTATTTTCAGAACTTACAGCTATGAAGAATCATTGCACATATTCCTTTTTATTACTAAATTTAAAAAGTTGAACATAGACTTGGGGACAGTTCATCACCTTGGCTAAGATTAAAAAAAAAAAAAGCATGGAGCTGACCATTTTCTTTGCTTTTTTTTTTTTAAAAAACATAACATATGAGCACTTCATTTACTTTGGTATAGTTACACTTTTGTCTCCCCTTAAAGAAATTCATTGAGATTTGCTGGTAAGACTGTGAACCTTAAATTGTCAAGGGCATCTCTATGCTCTACAAATTGGACCAGCGTAACATTTTTGGTCTTGCCTTTGTAGAAGAAAATAAGTAGCTTTCCAGACTGAAAAGTAGTGCAAGTATCCCAGAGGCTAAGGAAATCCTGTCAGTCCCTAGCTTCAAGAGGTAGAGAAGCAGAAACTGCGTAACTTCCAATGTTAAACCCACCCATTATGGAAAGAAA